TTGAGCCCAGGAGTTTGAGGTTGCTGTGAGCTAGGATGACGCCACGGCACTCTAGTCCAGGCAACACAGTGAGACTCTGTCTCAAAAAAAAAAAAGAAAAAAAAAAAATTCAGCCCTGGCAGAATTAGAACCCAGGTTTTCCTGATAGCTTTTCTTATACCAAAGAGACAGAGCCTAAAGCCAGTTTCAGAGAGACGTCTGTATATTAGTTTTGCAGCAATCATACTCTCAAACACAGACCTCATAGCCATTGCAGAGAGAAAGCAGAATCCTACAGGGTTCTATTTGACCAGGAATACCAGTTGGATTTCAGTAGAAATGAAATATAACTACCTCTTCATTAAAGCAGGCTTCAGGGCCCTCTGCACTGCAGCACTTCTCCACGGCATTAGCAAAACTCGTGAACAAAGACTGCAGCTCCTCATCTGTGAGTTCACGCTTCAGCTTCACTAAGTTGACAAGAAACCTGTGGCCCAAAGATATCAAATAGAATTAATTAAAGATTTCTTCCTGAAAGCACCTCTTCTCCAAAATGCTTGTCATAGAATCACATGTCGTGAGGTCTCAACTTGGATGAGTGCAAAGAGTTAAAATATTTCACTTTTGAAAGACTCTTCTGAAACTTTCTTATTAAACATATAGAATGGATTCCATTGAAACATTCTTTGGAAAGTCGTGTAATGACAGACAAAATAATATAAAAAGTGTGATGAGAAGTTGGATAAGGCATACAAAAATCAGTTAAATAGAAAGTGTAAGTTCTAGTATTCAATAGTACAGTATAAAAAGTATCATTGACAATAATCTATTGTATATTTCAAAATAGCTAGAAGAGAAGAATTGTAATGTTCCCAAACAACGAAAAGATAAATGTTTTAGGTGATAAATATCCCAATTACCCTGATCATTACACATTGTATACAGGTATCAAAATATCACATGTATCCCAAAAATATGTGCAACTATTATATGTCAATAAAAAATATATAAAAGAAGCAATTCAAAAAAGAAGAATAATCTATTACAACTAAGTGTGACAACTGCCACAGACAATAGTGATTTCCTTAACTTCTAGTAACTTCTAGAATTCCACTATTTTCCAAACTACAGGTTGCAACCATTGGTGGGTCTCAAAAGGACAATATTAGAGTAATTTTTACAGTAATAAAAATTTTTCATGCACAACAGTAGAGAGACTAATTTAATAAGTCCTAAATACCCATCCTCTAGATTTAAGGATTAACAACATTTAACACTTTGTCACTTTCATTTTTAAAATGAAAATGGAATAGTTAAAAGAATAAAGTATAGCAGACTAGAATAGGATGGGCTAGAAAATATGAAAGTGTATTACACTGTGAATATTGCACATAGAGTATTGTTCCATGAAAAAAAGAGAACATATAACAGGACTTTATTATATAAAGTATTATAGAATACATAACTATACATTTGATCTCTCTAGAAAATTTTTGTCTAAAACAACCTCCAAACCCCCTTCTTTAGTAGCTGAATGTTTTTTCCACTGCACTTTATTCAGACACTGTCTAAATCCAAGAAACGGGTCTTATTTCTTGGCATTGAAAGCATCACCTGAGGGAATGAAAGGAAAACTCCTGTCCCTTTGGGCCTTTCCTTTTTTCAAACATTGAGTGAGATTCTCAGAGCATTCTCTCAGGAAAATCCAGTTTGTTATGAATCTGCCTCTGAGCCTTTTTGCTGGCTACGCTAACTCATCTTTTCACATTGTAGTCTAGTGGGCACTCCACATCTCTTTCAAAGGAAAAGACAAACTGGGTCTTTATTTATAAACGATGCCAATAAATACGCACTGGTGTTTTTCTGAATAGGAGAGAGTGGATAATTTGGTGGAAGGAACAGGATTATGGTACCAAAAACACATATCTATCACAATAAACCTTCTCATTAATGCATGGTGTGTCTCCAGGCTAAAGAAAAAGAGGAATGGAAGAGAATATTTGTACCTGTCTTTCTTTCTCTGAAGTTCCTCATCCTGAGCCTGACACAAGTCTGCGTTAAATGTAAATAAATCTTTAGTGGTAGGTGGAGGTATATATGTTTTATCAGCTTTCAGACCCTCAAAGCAGTGCCTTCTGAAGGCAAAATTTGTTTTACAACAGTGGTCCACAGCAGGGTTGATGGTTCGATTTTCATTTATTCCACATAACTCTCCAAGAACTAAATCCACCTGTACCAATGAGAGTTGGAACCCAGATATGATTTTAAAACTTGAATGGAGTGTTGAAAAATATAGTTATATGAAGAGTTAGATTGTCCTAAGATCACTATTAACCTTACTCAGAAAGACACATGCATTCATAACATACCACTATGTACAAAGAAAAGTAGAAGCTAGGGTCCCAAATGGCCTTATGGCCAAAATTCAAGCCATGGCAATTTAGATGCCTACAGACGAGTTTCTTGGTAACATATACATGGACAATTGTGATCAGAGAGCTGCAAACAGCCAACTGAAAGTAGCAACCAAGCACTGTGGTCCCTTAGGTTTATTCCTGTCCTGGGATGTCCTCCAGAGTACTCTCCACCCAGCCCCAAAGAGATACACTCAACATCTGATTGCTGGAAGAAAAAACAATTTTCTTACTGAACTCTCTCTCTGGACAAGAGGGAGAATTTGCAACATTACTTAAAATTATAAAGTTTCCTGTGTCATTTTAAAACAATATTGTGATTCCTAAATCATTTGCCCTAACAAATCACTTCTATTTTTCTTTTAGCATAAATGGATGCTGACAAAACAAATCACTTCTAATATAAATAAGAAATGACGAAGATAACTTGGAGAACCCTCCACAAAATATTTAAGACATTCTCTTTTGTTTCTTAGGGTTTTCATAAAGCCAAAAGGAAAACTTGACATCCCTTGCTTGACAATATTGAATAGAACAAAATGAGGAAGGCAGATAATCACTATAAATCAGGGAGAGCAAATATCCTTTTTTTTTTAAGAATGAGTATACAGGCCATACTCACCAAATTATCAACACAGGCAAACTCTTCACTTAGCGTGCAGCAGGTAGTCAAAGCCATCACCATTTTCTCTCCAAGAGAGATGAGTTCTTCAGTGGAGAGCTGAGGGGCTGTCTTTGTGAGTCTGATAAGGTAGCTGAAAGAACATTTGTCTGTTTGGTTCCAAATGAAAACAGATACCCATTCTCCCTTGAACAGCGACTGAAACCCAGGTCCTTCACGTCTAGAGGCAACCAATGTAAGTGCAACGTGAACCTCAGCTCTCTTATAAAATGGTAGAGAAATGCCTCTTCACTTTATTTTCCTGCACCTTGCCTCCTATATCTAATTTAGTTTCCTTTCTAATTCCATGATTATCTCAGAAGCTCTTAGATTTGCCTGGCCTGTCTTCATCTGTGAGTGTAGGAGCTCCTTGGCAGCAAATACCTTGTTAGTATGTAAAATCCTGCCTGAAATCATTTGCATAGTTAGTAAATATTTTAAAGGGAGAGTTTAATGGATACATGTTCAGAAAGGATAATCTGAGATGAAGGAAATGAACATCTTTCATGGACTGAGTTTGAATTCTCAGCTAACAGCCAAATTGCAGAAATAGTAAAATCATGTTTTTTAAATTGTGTTTTACTTTGATTTGAAGATGTTTAGTTTCACCAAACACTACATTAGTATGATAATTAAGAGAATCCAAATAAACTGCATATTATTCATGAATGCTCATAGGAGCAATGAAAAATTAAATATTAAAGTGATAAGTAAATCCAGTTACTTCTGTAAACTCAGTTAATATAGGCTTAAATTCTGAGCAAACCATCTCTTCCCCAGGAAACTTGAAACTTGCTTCATCCCACTTTCAAATGGGGCAGGATCCAGGGATTCTAGGTTGGGACTGAGAAAGCCAAGTCCAAACAGAAAATAAAGCATTAGAACATCAATTTGCCAGGCCGGGCGC